GGGGAGGGGGGGGGCGAGAGGATAAAACGTGCCTTGGTGTGTCCAAGACGGTACATATCAGCGTCGAGGCCGGTGGAATCCAGAATAGCCGCGGCCGCGTCCTTGGGCTCCTTCGCCTTGTCGACTGCCGCGGGCGCCAGGATCTTGTACCTAAAGGGGCATCGGGGGAATCACGGGGGGGGGGGAGGGGGCAAACGTGCAAACTAATTAATACGGGTTCTAGAACACGAATTTCCGTCGATTTATACTCCCTCCTGTGTCGTTCCCCGATCGGCTCTCGCTCCTCCTCGATCGCTAAATCACGATTTTTGAAAAGAAAAATCGGGGGCCCGCTTCATGTAAATACATGTAATACTGTTCGGGGACTGATCCTCTAATCTAATCGGGTACTCCAAAAAAAATCGGGCAATACAGATTCGGACATCTGGTAGGATTTTTTTATCTGTTTTTACGAAAACGAATCTCACGGGGCAGGCAAAACTGAATGGGCATTCGAGTGGTACACGTTGCATTCAATGAGAGGGGGCGACGTGCTGAATTCACGGGGCAAGATTCCAGCGTGGATCGTCCTTAAGTCTCGTCGATTTATTAAAAAACCACTTTCAAGTGAAATAAAAATTCGACCTTTTATCGTCAAGCAATACGCGAGCTCGTAATATTAACATTAAAAAATACACAGATTCCATCTTGAAATCAACGAAGCGAAAATTTAATGTCTCATTTCGCATTGATTTAGCATTTTATCGCGCGTAAATAATGAAAGAATATTTTTTGCTGTTTTTCCTGAACGAGGGTCTTCGGACCATCCACATGGAGAAGTCTAGCTCTAGTTCCTCGAACACGGGGGATGAAAAGTGGCTAGTCCACCAGTTTAGAAATAACGGGGGCAGCGGAATCAAATCCATCGCTATCGAGGGTACGTCAACTAGCCTTAGTGTGGCCGATCCTATAGCTGTCCGGATCGAGACCGCACTCGTCGAAGCACTTTTGCGCGGCGACTTTGGGATCGCTCTGAGACGCCATTGCGGCTGGCGCTAGGATCATGTAACTACACCGTACACAATAAAGATTCGATTACTATGCGTCGAATCCGAGTAGAATAATCTTTCCCGACGTTCGCGTAAAAAAAAAAACTAGATCGGAATAGTCGCAAAAATTTTTCACAAAATTTAAGTCATAAAAAAATAAGTATATACAAAAAAAAGAAAATAAAAAGATTATCTTTTGAATATTTTTAAACATACTTTCCAAAAAATTATTCTAATCCTATATCATTCTGAAATCTATCATTTCCATAATCATTATAAAATGAAGGAACTAATGTAGAACTAAATTAAATAATTGTATTAAAAGAGAGAGTCTTCGCTATAATAAAAATATTAAATTATATAGTGATTAGAAAAATCTGCTATGTCGATTACGTTTAAAGAAATATAATGATAACCTGTGTAAAAGTTTATCTAATATATGTAATAAGAAACCTAACAATAATTTTCTTAATTGGAAGCCAGTCAAAAGAAATCATGGATACATTGCAGATTTTTGTAAACTATAAATTATTGCAACTGGAGGATCGAGGATAAAATAGACAAATTCTATAAAAAATACCAAACGTTACAGTAAAACTTTAAATCATATTTTAAATTTTTCAAAATAAGGAAGTCATTAAAAATAAATCTAATGATGTTGAAACATGTATTATACACTAAGAAGAGATTTAATTCCTCGAACCATCAGCTTTTCGAATTACCACAAAAATGGCAATCTAACCAATCGCAGATATTAGATAGGAGGGGATTCTTACCGTAGCTTGAAGTCAGGATACACCATTCGGTTGGGGAAACCTTTACGACAGATACGAATGCCTTCAAGCACACCGTTACAGGTGAGCTGATGCATGACCAGATGGGAGTCGATCACACCCGGCTGCTTCAACTCGTTGGGGATGATGCAACGGACGAAGTGGGGCTGGGTGGCGCGCAAAGTGGTCATCAGGTTGTTCAACTGCTCCTTGTAGGAGGACGACACGGTCGAGAAACCACCGCCCTTCTTGCCACGTCCGCCCTTGCCGCCGCCGCCGCCGCCGGCGTCACCGGACTGTCCGGGATGATCGGCGAAGATCTCTATCAGTAGCTTGTTAGTGGACTTCTTAAACTGATCGACCACCGTGTCGTTCAGCGGGTCCTTGTTCTTCTCCAGCCAGCCGGTGATGTTGTACGGTACCTGAATCCCAAAGCAATGCTTAAGTAAATCTCTTCTTAAGAATAATCTAGAGAATCTAATTAATAATAATTGTCTATTTCTTTTGTAAGATGATGTAACTGTTAATTTCACTTGTGCAAAGATTAACGATGTCCAATATTATGGGTCTAAATAAAATCAATAATAACTTTATTTTTAGCAAAATATCAATTTTAACTTTTTTCTTAAAAATAAGACTAATATTTTTTTGTAAGAAGCCATTTTTTTGTATAAAATAAAATAAAGGAAATTCGTACGTTGCCAGCATAATGGCCGATGGCGAAGTGGGCTGCTTGCTGGCCCGGTTTGGGCGGTTTCGGCTTCAAAAAGTTGGGACTCTTGCCGAGATGGTTGTTGTTCAGTTTCTCCTCGAAGGTCTTGTCGGTGGCCTTGGGGAACATAGACTCTTCCTCAAGAATGGAGAGGATACCCATAGGCTGTACCGCGAGAAAAAGAAATGAAGGAGCGCATCAGGATCTGTTATATCTCCGAAGATTTCGCATTTTCCAAGAGTAGCGTTACGCAATTTCGGACACAATGTCTTCTTCTTTCTTATCGTTAATGATGTGTAAAACATTTTTTTTGTTAAATCGCGACTGATTCTCAGCGCCAAAGTTCTACCAATAAAAAGAAAGAAATGGAGGCGTGCTCGGTATGCGGAACTTTTGCGAAAGTGCAAAATATCTTCGCGCATAGCAACCCCGTTAGTGTCTCAAGTTTTACTGAAAACGTCAGATGCTAAATACTTCTCGTCGATGTACTTTGTTATCTACTTGCTCGACACTGCGATACATTAATGTACTTCTTTACTTCTGCGACGGTTAATCAATTATACTCGCGAGCGTAATAAAAGATTTATATATGAATTAATTGCCGATTAATAATTAATCTTGCGGACTACGTACAAGAGGAAAAACCCCAACGCTACTCTTAGTACTGCGTTATCTGTAATTCTACAGGATAGATTTATCGAAGCGATGCTTCGGTAACGATCATTGCGCTTTACAGGTCGTTGTGTACCAAAGATACTTAATTTTCTCTGTATTTTAAAATTCTATATCTTGAAAGCGCAATCATCTTTTTCGACACATCGATCTTTCCATCCATCATAAGCTACAGCGGAATATATGATATTCCGGATCCACCGCGTAAGTTTTCAGTCGTGAATATCGAAATTCTATTCAAAAGAAAAATCCAAATTTTACACATAAAGGCAATGATTTTAAGCGCTCTTTGTCCGAAAAAAAGAATAAAATTTATTTAAATGCAGAAATTTAAAAAAAATACAGAGATTTAATTGAATTTATCAATTAAATGAAAAATGAAAGGAATACGATTTGTACAATTTATTTAAAACGCTCGTTTATCTTGAATTACCACTCAGCTTTAAATTTAGTTAAATAAAGTCTTAATAATTCTTTGGACATAAAGAATAATTCAAAAATTAATAAAAGATCCACCTGAACGACTGGAACTTCCACGCGCTAGACCCGTGTGATACGCAAAGAAGATGATATGTAATATAATTAAGTACACACACAGGCGAGGAGATACAACATTGGCAGGAGCCGCACAACGTTGGCAAAATACAGCTACGAACTCAGTGGGCAAGCTAAACTCAAGCGCGAATTGCTGGCGTTACTGGATCACAGCCGGGTGATCCAGTAACATCGAGTCCGTGTCCCGCGCGGACCCGTCGCCTTTACCTTCTCGATCAGATTGATCGTCGGCTCCAAGTCCAAGCCGAAATCGATGAAGGTCCACACGATACCTTCGCGCTCGTACTCTTCCTGCTCGAGCACGAACATGTGGTGGTTGAAGTACTGCTGCAGCTTCTCGTTGGTGAAGTTGATGCAGAGTTGCTCGAAGCCGTTGAACTGCATTCGTTCATGCACCACGATGCACACAGGCACACAGCGAAGAGACAGAGAGAGAAAGAGGGGGAGAGAGCGAGAGAAAAAGAAAAGAGAGAAAACAGTGAAGAAAAACGGGGCGAGGATGTGCGCGAGATCGGCAGGACACCAGTCCGTGCCCAGTCGGTTGGTCCTTTGATCTTTCGATCTGTCTCGGAACTTCCCGCGGCGTAAAACAAAGGTGAAGCATCCAGTCGTTTCAACAAGTAAATCGCGATCGACTTAACGAAAATTTATTTAATCTTGACTTTAGATAATTAAATCTCAATTATATTTGGATTTCATATATATCGCGTGTTGTAGAAAAAAATCGCTCCACCTTTCGATCGACGCGGCGAGAGGCAGTAGAAAAAAAAAACAGATAATGCTCGAGTGAAAGTGTGACGGTAGGAGGAGAGTGTTAGTGTTCGATCGAGCAGACAGACAAGACACATTCAGCGTAGTATATCTCGAGCGTGTGTGTGTGTGTGTGCGCGCGCTATTCGGAGGAATCCCGAGTCTCTTCCGGCGATCGGGCCCGCGATCTGTCGATCTGCCACGACCGGGTGATACCTTCTCGATCAAATCGATAGTCTGCTGGAGGTCCATGCCGAAGTCAATAAATGTCCACTCAATGCCCTCGCGCTTGTACTCCTCTTGCTCGAGGATGAACATGTGGTGGTTGAAGAACTGCTGCAACTTCTCGTTGGTGAAGTTGATGCACAGCTGCTCGAAGCTGTTGAACTGCTCGACCGAGTAGCGGCAGCGGGGCCCATGCGAACGGGGGGTTTAAGCGAAGAACAGAGAAAAAAAAACAGGGGGGAACAGCCGTCATTAGTGCTGCCTGATGGCGCGAGAGGAGAGCGCTCGACCGATGACTTCGACCCGTAACTTTCATCGTTCGATTCCGGGGGCGAGGGCGAAGGGGAGGGTCCGAGGGGAGGGGGGGGGGGGGACACTCGATGTGCCCTTAGGGGATTTGTTCCTGAGCGTGCGATAAACTCGAAAAATTCCGAGGAATTAAAATATTTTAATCTTACAATAACGTGTGAATAATTAAATTAGATAATTATAGCTAAATAAATCTCAATATTGACATTTAAATAAAAATGGATAGCTGTGCTTTTTCAAGTTCGTCGCACGGATCAGAGACACTCGCTTGTGTCGTTACGTGATAAATTAAAAATGGTACCATGATGAACACTGACGATACATTCGTGTTAGCTGGGATCGACACTCAATGTGCTTTTGTAGTTTTTAGGGCAGGGGGTGAGGAATATAATTACCGCTTCATTTATTATTATTTGTCGTTAATTGTTAACGATTAACCATCGCTTTCCGATGTTAATCTCCGAGTTAATTTCACGTTCATTTTAATTTATATAATCACTTTCACTGTATCTAATTTTTATTCTAAAACTCGTTGATTAATGCCACGTTGAACGGTGTATTTCTTAATCATCGAGCTGTCAAATTTTTAATGGGCTGACATTCAGTGCTCGTCACAGGAGCTTTGCTGAAGTCTATAGCAATCTGTTCATTGTAATTAATTCGGCGCAATAAGTTTATACCAATAATAAGCGTCGTTGATTCGTCGAATTTTTCTTTCTCTTTTTTTCGCTTCGCGTTTCGCTCCTGGTCTCTTCAGGATTGCGAACCCAGATGAATCGTCGAAGAAAAGACAATGACGTTCGATTGTCGTTCAATCCATTGAACGATTTCGGGGAAATTCTTTGCGGGCACGATATTAGTGCCGTTGGGGAACGTGACGGGACGCCATGAGGGGCAAGAAAGGGGGGAAAGAGTGGCTTAGGCACTCGTATCAAGTACCTTCGGCGTCTTCGTCATTCCCGAAGAGCCAGAGAGATTGCGACAGAGGCACAAGCGTGAAAAACCGGTGAAACTTAACCGGTGAAAGCAACATCAATAAATTCGTGATTCTTGCAAAGTCCCAGAAATCGGCTCGCTCAAGCTCGTTCGACGTCTCGCTCGTTCGTCGTCCGTGGGATCGATCAACTCCCAGGGGTGCCGGATCGATGCGTTCAAACCTTGATTCGGGATAGATGACAATACCTTTTCGATCAGCTCGATACAAGCTAGCAAGTCCATGCCGAAATCAATGAACACCCAATCGATGCCCTCCCTCTTGTACTCCTCTTGTTCGAGCACGAACATATGGTGGTTGAAGAACTGCTGCAACTTCTCATTGGTGAAGTTGATGCAGAGCTGCTCAAAGCCGTTGTACTGCCATTTTTTGCATTTGCACAGAGCGTAGGCGTACGGCAGGAACAAGAGTGAGGGAGAGAAGATGGTAGATAGACGAACAGAATGAGGTAGAGGAGGGAAAGAGAGAGAGAGACAAAAATATTATCAGTGAGACAAATAAAAGTCGACAAAATTAAATAAGTGTCTGTGTCATATGTGTGTTGAGTTTTGACATTTCTCTAATTCTTTTTTAAATTCTGATATATACTTAAAAAAAGAACAGAATTTATTATACTTGCAAATATTGCTGAATTTGATGTTAATCTCCGTAAAATAAATTTTACTTTGTTTTTTTTTTTTGCAATTTCTTATTTTAGTAGTATAATTGTCACTTAAAAAATCTAATTTGTATTTAATTTAGAAATTTTCATAATTTCTCACACAAAACTGTCTGTATAGAGTAATTTAAAAAATATTCATGCAAAGTAATATATACTTTTCTAAATAAAAAATTGATATTTCCTCGTAAAAATTAAACTCTATTTCGATGATAGAAGAGGGAACTAGAAGTAGCCTAAGCGGAATGCGACAGGAATGCTTGCTTGTCGACACCAATACGTGCGGCCGAAACCGCGAGATCGACGACACAAAAAGAAAGAGAGAAGGACGCAGGATGAGGGTGAGTATAGATGGCTGACGATAAGAAAACAGTGGACGATCACTTCCTTTTTTTTAGGAAAGGGGGTAAGCGTTAGAGTGGCGGTCTCCTCTGATCCGTGATAAGTCGTCAGGGATTCCCGCGTGCTTAGAGTTATCTCAATCCTCGTGTTCGTGTCACTCGTGCTCGTTATATTCAGCTTCGAGTTATCCCGTTCTCTTTTGCTTCCGGCCGTACCCCGTCTGCTCGGGTCTTTACCGGCCAGGAATCGATCGATCCGTCGTCCTAATGTACCTTCTCGATCAGATCGATACAAGCGACCAGGTCCATGCCAAAATCAATGAAGGCCCACTCAATGCCCTCCCGTGTATACTCTTCTTGTTCGAGGACGAACATGTGGTGGTTGAAGAACTGCTGCAGCTTCTCGTTGGTGAAGTTGATGCAGAGCTGCTCGAAGCTGTTGAACTGTTCGAGAGCAAGAAACAGGCAAGCGTATGTGTATTCTCTAGTTTTTCCTCTCTTGACACTTCTTTTTAGCTTTCGCAGCTCTTTCGGCCTGTTTCTTTTAAAGGGATTTCTTACACACGTCTACACATGTAGCATCGATCGGAATTGCGAAATTACCCGAAGTCTCGAAACGGCTAATATACGTAAAAATATTCTTGATGAAGTTCTTTTTTTTTGTAAGGGAATGCATATGGAATCAATAACGTTTTTCTTCATCAAGATTGATAAAGTAATTATAATTTTAATCATTATTTTATTAATATTATATTATTTAACTGTTTTATTATTTAAAAACTCTGAGGTTTGTGAAATTCGAATTATGTTGTCGACTCGAAACTTCGGGCTGACCAAAGTCTCATTACGAGGGATTTCTTTGCAGGTCACGTAATACAAATCGGTGGTGTTGCGCACCGTTTATCGCTAGGACGGATTGGTATCAATCATTTCGCGACCTAGCACGAGGTCGTTCTTTCGGATTCAAACTTATCATGTCAGAGAATGTTCCAATGTCTCGATTTGTGTCCAGAATATCGGTCGATTCATTCATAAAACAGAAACACGGAAGAGATACAAAATCAAATAAAAATTCAAAATACGAGATTATGCTACATTCAAAGTTAATTGAAAATGTATCATATCTCTTCAGTATGAGACGTCGGATCGCAGACAAACAATAAGAAAATTGACGCATCTAATCTGTAATAAATACGTAACATATTCGTGTTAGAATTCAATTTTGAAATTCAGTCCCGTGTCTGTGATCAGATGTCTTTACGAGTGCCATATACGTGTAAGGTCCAACAATATTAGTCTACGGCCAACAACTACCGTTACCAACTCTGTCAAAATTACATCAATGGGAAAACCATCATAAAAGAGTGGTTCCTGCACGACTCCTGACCGTCCTGGTTTACTAATGGACAGTTAAACGTACGTGCTTAATTTAAAAAAAGGAGGGGAGGAACGAAGATGGGTGAATGGTTAATCATTTCTACACTATATTCACTCTGCGTGAAGTCCACTGTTTCGATGGTGACAATGATGACAATGAATGTCCCTTTGATGAATAAAAAAAAAATCCTTTTACCTGCACGCTGTCCCACTTGGAGTCAGATAGAGTGAATGAGCGTTCTTCGGGGGATCTAAGAGTATCTAAGAGCATTCTCGATAAAAGACTCCTATCGTGAATCATGCCATATCGATAAAAATTTTCTAAGCAGAGAAATTCTGCTACTTCTATGGAGACGTGCAGAAAAATTCGGGGCAATCGAAGAGGAATTTTTCGAAATCATGCGTCTTTCGAAGAAACAAATGATGTATGTACATACGATAATTCATAAAATTCTTCATTAAAATTCGGAATAATTTTTTTTTTCTCTTCGCTTCGTGTTAATTTGACAATAATAAATAGTAAAATTATTGCGAGAATATTAATAACGATTAATCATCACATCGAACAAAAATTTCACAGTTTGTTCAGGGCAATACAGAATCATTCAGGGGATCAACAGAGCATCTAAACTCATATTGAGATTCACAGCATATGATAAAGTTATTCAATAAAGATAGAACTGTCGAGTCCATTCAGGATATAATCGAAATCCATTCAGGGTTTTAACGTTTTAAAATTCGTGTTGAGGTTTATGGCAACCCCAAAAGGGACGATGATACATATATCTAGGGAGGGGACAATCTACGAAGATCGAAATCATCCTTTGGAGAAACTCATACTTCATCGAGATTAACGATAAGACTAACGTGCGGGACGTAAAAAGACCTTTAGACCTCCTAGAGAGATCGGAAAAACGAAGGGGGGGAGGGCGGATCGATCGTTCACCTTCTCGATCAACTCGATACAAGCTAGCAAGTCCATGCCGAAGTCAATGAATTGCCAGACGATGCCCTCCTTCTTGTACTCCTCTTGCTCGAGGACGAACATGTGATGATTAAAGAACTGCTGCAACTTCTCGTTGGTAAAGTTGATACAGAGCTGCTCGAAGCCGTTGAACTGCGAGATACCGAGGTAAGTAAGTGAGATATGATTACGGGTTAGATTTTCCGAGGAGATTTTACTCGACGACTCGTTCGACGGAGGTACGAAATGTCTCGTGAATCACGATTCACTTTCTCGTCACGCTCGATTTTGAGCGTTTTTTCTTTCCTGTTTTACTTCGTCTCATTGTCAGGGGAAAGTGAAGTCTGTATGGATCGAAGATGCGAAGGATTCTTCGCACCTTCGATATCTTCTTTTTTCATGTGTTCGATTATATTTTCGTTTCACGTCGACGATTTGAAAGAGAAGCCTCGAAGGCATTTGCTTTCTCTTTCTTACGATATGATTTTTTTTATATTATACAGAGAGCGAAAAAATTGTATAATAATGACAAAGAAATTCTTTTTGAAAATTCTTATACATTAAATATCTAAATAATTAAAGTAGAAATAAATTTGATCGATCATTAAAATTAAATTTGCTCTTATAAAATTTTATTCGCGAGAATCATTTAATTTTAACAATTTGTAATTTGCCGATTTTTTTAACTAGTGCCAAAAATAGAAAGAAAATACTATTTTGTCATTATAATAAATTTTTCAGGGCAGTGGCGACAAAATAATGGAATGTAATTTACGGAATGAAACTTTCGCGAGAATCGTCGACGATCACGTTACGTATATATGCGTATATGTGTGTCTATATATTTGTGGATCGCGGTTCGGAAGAAACTTACGTCGAAAATCTCGAAACCGGCAATATCCAGTACACCGATGAAGTGCTGCCTCTTCTGCTTGGTGTCCAGGGTCTCGTTACACTTCTTCACCAGCCACTTGAACAGCCTGTCGAACATCGCCTTCGACATGGCGCCCACGGAATAGGCTACCTGGTCTTTGTTACGACCCTGGGTGACGAACTCGTTACCGACCTTGATCCTCGGCTTCAGCAAGTTCTTGTAAAGATCGGCACAGTCGCAGCCAAGCAGCTTGGCCACGCGATCACCTTCCTGAAGTGCAAAATACGATCATTTCTTTCTTGAAACGTTCTTTTCCACTGAAGAAGAAACGGTATAATAACGTCTTGACAGATTTAATTCGTAACTTCTGAATAAAGAAAAAGACATATTTCAGCATGTGTAGAAAAAAAAGGTTGGAATGTAACTGTATAGAAATATAGTTTGAAAAAAATCGTTTATGGGCCCAAATGATTTTTGTCTTTTTGCAGCATCGAAAAGAAATAATATTTTCCTTAAAATGTTAAGAAGACGTTTTAAATGATATAAAAATTGATTGCAAAATCTTTTTGGGGATAAAACAATCAATGGTACATTTAGGAAAAGCCAATAATTTCATGACACTACAAAGTGTTGATTGGAAATAATCTTCTTAATTAGAAGATTGTTTTTTTTTATAAAAAAAGAACAGATAAATAAAGCTACTAAAAATTATTATGTTGATAATTGTGATTTCTAGTAGCGATTCAAAGATACGCACTTCAGTGCCATCGGCTTCAGCCTGTTCCTCACGACCCCTCTGCTTGAATTTCATGCCACCCATGTGCATGACGGACGCGGTGATCTTGTAGATGTCATCCTTCTCTTCCTGGGTGAAGCCCAGCACATCGAAAGCTTGCTGTTACCGAAAAGAAGCTTCGTTAGATCTCGTCACGCAGTGACGCTTTCGCGTCGAAAAAAGTTTCAAATTACGAGGAGTTGATTCGCGAAAGATATAAATTTTTCAGATGTGTTTTGTACGTCTCTCTTAGATCTTTTATTGTTTAGAATTCTGTTTCGAAATTTTATCGGAGATGAAAAATGGTACATTTTATTGGCAAATACAGAGAGATCCTGAAGGATAATATGACAATGCTATAACACATTTTATTGTTCATCGCGAATCAAATTCAGAAAAGGAATCATCGGAAAGAAAACGACGATCTCTAATCACTCCTCGGACATGACTCTCGTTATCAATTTTGGCGAACTTACGTGGACGAATGAGAGTTAATAGAAACACACAAGGACAACACAAAGGCTCCCAAACACGGCGAACGATCGATGTAACTAATTACATTGTAAATCGTTCGGCTACGTGCATGGAAGCTGCGTGAGAAAGAAGAGAGAAAGAGAAAGAAAGCCAGCGTGGCGTAAAGCTCGGTTTTACCGCATCAATTGAAATTAATTATTTTACGATCGATCGAAGAACTTATTTAAAAAAGAATAAAATTTTAACAAACTGTGTAACAATGTAAAAACGTTCTCTAACCTCGTAACTATTTGCTTAAATATATATATTCAATACGTGCAATTTTTTTTTAATAATAAGCTCTTGAATTTGACGATCAATTATTATAATTTTAAACCAATTGGCTCTTAATCAATTACATCAAGATTAAAGTTAATCAATGACAAAATCGGTCGTAAAATTTTAACTTTAATCACGGGTCAATTGCTTCCTTTTATATCCAGTTGCGTAATTCTGGAAGAAAGTGACTGACATTCCGGCGAAACCGATCGGAAGCGTTCTTGCAGCAACAGCGAGCTGAAAAGCAGAAGCGAAGCTCGTGTTACGTGACGATAGCTCCTTTTCTCTAAGCTCCGGGTGTCAACGCGAATTAACACTGCCTACGTGATCTTTCAAGACCACGAAGTGCTAGAAAAAGAATAAGAAGAAGAAGAAAATTCGAAGAAGATGAGCGAAAACTGCGAGCTTGATCTCTAGATCGTGCTCGTCGCGAAATGCCTCTTTATTTTGACAAAGAGACCTTCAGGGTCAGCCTGAACGATTCCTCGTTTACTTCCAACCCCCTCGCTCCTTTGAGGGGCAGCTTGGATCTCCTTTAATTCGACGTCGCACTCGATCGATGAAGAATCGCTTCCTGGAGGCCGCGTCTCTGATCAAATCTATCAAAGTTTCACCTGGGATGGAATTCTCACAGAAAGAGAGAGAGAGAGAGAGAGAGAGAGAGAGAGAGAGAGAGAGAGAGAAACTACCGTAGAAAGGGAAGGGACGGGGAAATAAACTACTGGAAGTAAACTACTGAAAGTAAACTACTGGAAGTAAACTACTGGAAGTAAACTACTGGGTTGTAAACTGCAACGGGGTTGTAAACTACTGGAACACGATGCTCGAAGTATCGCCGAGTCTCTTTAAATCGAGATGTGGGAGAATTTCTTTCGAGAATTCTTAAATCGCTCCAAGTTAAAAAAACTGGAGTAGATACCAGAAAGGGGTACAATACTACCGGAAGAACTCGAAAGTGTTGTATCATTATGTACATAGGTAGTTGCGCGGAAATCGATAATATAGCAACGATCGAGCTGTTAAAATAATTAATTATATACATATATGTATATACACATAAATATTATCTTTAATTCGACTTTATATTTTCTGGATTTTAAATTTCTACATAATATTAAAACTGTTTATAAAAAAATATTAATATTAAAAAAATTAAAATTCAAAAATTCCAATACATTTACTTTGATTATTTTTGCATTGAAAAATAAATGATAAAATATCTGCAAGCATCGAAGACAATATTAAACATATTAAGAATACATATTAAGAAAACATTTTTAATTATTATATCCTTAATTTGATAAATTCAGTTATTAAATTAATTTTTAAGAATAATTCAATAGAAATAATATAACTTAAAAAATTAGTGATCCTTAAGAAACTACAAATTTCAGGTAATTGCACAAAGTATTGTTGCTAATTATCGTCCGCATTTATATGGTCTGATAAACAATATCTGAGATCGAAAAATAACAGCGATGTCAATCTTCAAAAGATCTTTCATTCTTTTAACACTAAAAACTATTATCGTTTTATTAAATTTGATTACGATAAATCTATTATTTTTATAAATCTATTGATATTACAATACATTAATTGACAAGTATTTGAACGAAATTTTTTGATCGACGTCGCTGGTACAAGATGGGTGGATTTATATATCCATGTAATTTAAAGATATGGAATCCAACTTTTACAGGGCGAAAGGGGAAAGATATCTTCTTTACAACCAGGGTGATATTTAAGGACTTACGTCCGTCAGCAAACATTCCTCGGCATCGTCGACGTTGGGGATCGTAATCTTTCCTTGGGACACGTTGACATAGTCGTATATGTTGTTGGACAATAAACATATATCTGTGAAGCATTTTGGAAGATAAAGTTGCAATTTCAGAATTTGTTTCATCTCAATTCTGATCTCAATCTCAATGTTTCAATGCCTCGTTTCTGATGACCCTCGCGATATGATTCTCGATTCATCTTTAATCAAGGAGCGATTGTACGATTGTCGACTTGCGTTGCCGAGTTTCTATCGTCAATCAGTTGCTGCTAATTTTTGAAACTCGAATATTCACGGCGCGAGAAAAGCCTTTGATCACATCTTCTCCAAAAAGATTTAAAAAATTTATGTCTCGGATTTGATATAACATTATTTCAATATTTTTGAAGAAATTCTTCCTTAGAACATTATTTTCTCAAATAGGTTTTCTCAATAATGTTCTTTTCGATTGTTCTTTTAAAAATTTTAAACAATAATTTAAAAAATTAATTTTTGCATTATGTTTTTAAAAACTTTCTTTAATATTATTATCTAAATCAGGAATCAAAATATATTTTTCGATTTTCTGCTATCAAGAAATTATATATTACTTTTAAGGAATTGCTTTAATTTTTCAATTTAACAAGAACAATCTTTTTGGAAGATGAGTCTCGAAAAGGGTAAAAAAGACGAAGAGATTACATTTGCGAGCGCGTGTTTTCAACAGCCTTGCAGATAGGGGGACGGGCGATAATAGTGTGATAGGCGTATCGGGGAGCGGGTAAACGGGGGCGATGAGTTTCTATCTCGATGGAAGAGAATATTTCTTCAGCGCTGAGAAAGTCTCGCGCTCCCAATCTCCCCGCGCCCCGATTGCGGCGGCAGGCAGCTTTCGCAGGCGGGGGGCGAGGGGGGTGACGAATCCTCGGCCAAACTTCAGCATCACCTTGCTCGAACGAGAAATCCGAAGAATAATTCTTATCTACATAAATTATACTAAAGTTGAAAATTAAGCCATCTGACAATAAAATAAATTAATGTTTAATTTTTTTAACTATTGCAGATTTGTAAATTAAATAAATATTTAATATATGCGATCATGTATAATAATTAAAATTATAAAGATATTCGATTTCAAACTATTGAAATCGAATATTTCGATGATTATATATAATTATAGATATCTCTTCCTCATTAAAATTTCTAATATTTCTTCCACGATCAGAAATTGGTTCGAAATAAATTAATATTTTTAAATAATTTCACAAGAGGCACAAGGGGAGTCTGAATTTCGCCGAGGCTCGAAGACACCCTGGGGGCTGGACTTACGTCCGTTGCTTCCATGTCTTCGCCGTCGTTGACTCCCGGAATTCTGGTCTTACCCTGGCTAATGTACCAGTAGTCGCCGATCCGGTTGCTCAGCATGGTCATTTCTGTATTAGTTCATTCTTTTTTTTTCTATCCACGCTCGATCTCGTAATTGGCAAGCGAGCGATCGTGATCATCGTCGACATTCCAAGTTCCTTTGCCAAATTCAAAAATTTTACCCCTTTTCTCGTTGGAAAACTTTTTACCGAATTAATTCGGCTGCTACTTGATTTGTAATTGACAATTAAATCAGTCGATAATTATTTTAATATTTAATTATTATATTTTCATATTTTGAGAATTAATGTGGACATTCTTTTTTTTTTTTTTTGAGGGTAAAGAAATGATTGGTGTCGTCGATGCTCGCGATAGAAAAGACAATAGCAAGTTATTGGCGGCGAGTACTTGCTGAAAAAAAAATGATAGTGCGATAGAGAAGAAGAGAAGAGAAAAAGATAGAGAAAAGTAGAAGGAAAGTTATAATGATATACAGATATCCGCATGTGCTGTAAGAATATGTCTGGTTAATTACGTGGCACATTGAAGAGCTGCAATGGAAATACAGTAGAGCAGAGAGAAAGAGAAAGAAAGAAAGAAAGAGAGAGAGAGAAAGAAACATAGAGAAATACAGATAGCACGTAAGAAGAGAAATAACAGCACAAATAAACATCTTTGTACAAAATACAGGATATGTAAGTAGAAGCTGACACCAAAAAAAAATTCAAAGTGTACGGAAAAGAATCGTCACTCGGTGAAGTATTCAGTGAGCGATGACACTTTTCCGGAAAGCGGTCCCTCTGTACGGAAAGGCGGCAATTATGTACACAGAGGGGCTAGTGCTTAGAGAATTGGACCAGCGAGCTTCGAGAATAGAAATTTGACGAATACAAAATGGGACGACTGATATAAATTTCAGAAACAAACGCAAGATTATGTAATTAACGTAAGCAGAAAAATTGTCTTTTTTTATAAAAGAGCATAAGAAGCTCCTCCGCGAAAATGGAAATTTGAAGATTTGAACGGAAGGAAAAGCACGCATCTAAATATCAATTACGTAATATTATCTTTAAAATCGATATTTATAACATTCTCGCTAAGAGCTCTCTACGATATATAAATATAACAATATTAATATTACGTAAATCCGATGAAAGATAATAAATCTCTTGGAAAAGATGTGTGAAAGTATGTATTGCATAAATACGTATTGAATAACTGTCTGTGAAATAGTCTAAGCGAGAAGTAAAAGGCCTTCGAAAGTCCAGTTTGACTCCTTTTATCTCGACGGAATTTCTCTTATTGAGACGCGACCACTGACGCCGGCTGGTCCAGGTTCGTTGCACTTACATCGGTAACCAAAAGCTCTTCGCCGTCATCGAGGCCGGGAATCGTCGTCTTGCCTTGCGATACAAAGTAGTAGTCGGTGATGTTGTTGGACAGCAGACACATCTCTACAGGGTGACCGGATAGAAAGAAAGAAAACATGCGGGTGGTTAGAACAACCGATGGTGGGCCATGTTTCCTAGTGGCTTTCCATCGTGCTATCTAAGGGGGGGAAGATCGTATCTACAGGGGATCTATTGCGAGTCCGCCGGGTTCTCTCAACTGCGTCTCAACGTGAAGGAAATACTGGCAGGAAAGAGGTAACAAAAAGGTGCCACCTGTCCTCATCAGGGGTTCATCAGACGAAGAAACAATCATAGTGCCTGCGTCCTCTTCAGAGAGAGAGAGAGAGAGAGAAAAAAAGTATAGAGAAAAAAAAGTCAATTTTTCTTCTCTTATTTACAAATATATATATATAAGATATTAATATATTAATTTAAATAATTAATTTAAATTATTCGTACTGCCACACTCTGGAATAACAAAATTAATCAAATTTAGATCAAGAAGAAATTTTTTAGAACTTCCAAAATCTGTCTTTATTCCTAATTATAATGATCTAATTGGGATTTTTACGGGTTGCTTTTACGCAATCGTTCTGTAAACATTTTTATACGAGTGTGCTTCATCAAATTCTTGAGGAATGAACTTTCTGAAAGCTTCTGAAATTTGAACCAACAGTTTCGAGATAGTTTCTTCGTCCACCTTGTCAACATTCGATACTCAGAATACTCGCTACGCTACAAAGTAAATACGTTCTACGGTATAGCTCTGTAAAAATACCGCTACTCCTTTTGCGGATTACGCCTTGCTAGGAGAAACAAATTATATACAAAGTGTCCCAGCTCTCTTGCAGTAAAGAGATCTACTACTAGCATTACTATTCTACGAGAAATACGTGACTGTCGTCGTCGATTTCTACACTTTGGAATGATAATTCCATTTCATCTTTTTCCTGAAAGAAAATAACACCAAGTAAACTTGCGTTTTATTCAAATAAGATTTTCTTCCATTAAAACAATTAGAGCTAATATGAAATCGGAAAATTTTAATTACAAAAAAAAATTGAATTTATTTAGAAATTATGAATTTTTTTATTGATCAGAATTTTTGCGAATTTGTCAAAATCTTGCACATTTCTTTGCTTTGCAGTTATTAATAAAACCGAATGTGATTAAATTTTCTTCCAGAAAATTTAATCGACGATCAGAAAATTACTAATCGATGTTAGTTAACATAGTAAATGTAATATGAAACTGCCAGCGAGTTAGATTATATCCAATCGAAAAAATCGACTTCGATAGACACGTTTCTTTTTCACAATACCCCGTTCTAGAGGCGTTACGAATTGCCTGCTACAGTTCCTCCAGGCAACGTATGTACAACGAAATATATAAAGTTAATCCACGAAAACCGCCAACTGTGGCCAGCAACCGAGTCTAAGGGTGTCATATATACAAGGATAGTAAAGGTAAATAAACGAGAGGCGAGAATCCTGCGATATTCGTCAGGCCCTTACGTCGGTCAGCAGACACTCCTCGCCGTCGTCGACGTTTGGGATCGTCGTCTTGCCCTGAGATACGAAGTAGTAATCGTTGACGTTGTTCGATAGGAGGCATATCTCTGCGTGGAATGAAGGATAATTCGACAGTGAGAAAGTTTGTTGGTGTGCGCGGGAGGAAAAAAAGGGCGGACCCCCATCCGGGCGATTGCACCGCCCGGATCGTTCATTGCACGCGGTACCTTTCTTTCTTCCAGGTTGCACGGCACCTGTGTCTTCTCATCTTCCCGACCTAATCTCGTTATCAGCGAGAGCGTTCGCGGCGAACGCTCCAGAAATAATCGCTACCTCGAGAAAATTAATTATCTTTCTGCCTGAAAGATGGTTAATTATTTATATGTATACTACATTTAGTCCAAAAGAATAGGTATTTTTTTCACTAATGTTGTCGTAATATAGTTATTGTTGATAATTATTCTATATGCACAATGAACGTGTGCGCAATTAATGTGTAAATAATTAAGTTTTTCATCATTCTCGAGGTAACGATAATTTGTCAATATGATCCTAGGAGGAGAATATAATTCATGGAAATCGACGTGCGGCGGAATCCTGTTTAAATTTCGACTTTATCTTTTTCCGGATTTCACTTTTTCTTTTCACGCGGAATATTAATGACCTTACCCTTTAGTCCCTTGACTGAACCGGACATCATCTGATAGAAGATGTGATAGGAACGCTCGAGGGTTTGTTGAGAGATGACACGAGCCTTCTCCAGCAGATCTGTGTAAGGAGGGCATATTTTAGAAATATACTTTACGTAAAAAAATATACAAGGTGTATCTTAAATAGCGCTCACTAGTCATATAGCGCTATTCTTTATAAAAAATTATGACAAGTCTTAAACCATTTTTTTCTACAATGCTCAATGAAGCTGTAATTACTGCAGTAGTGATTGCTTCACTATGCATTTTAGAAAAAAAATAGGATTTTTTTGCCTCAGTTTTTTACAAAGAATAACGCTATATATAATTAGTGAGCGCTTTTTAAAATAGGTATATACTCTGTATTTTACATCTGTAGAAATTAGTTATTTATAAAGTATATATCGTGTATATTAAATATATATTAGAAACCTATAAAAAAAAGTGTCGCAACCAATGTGTCCACGACTGTACATTCCATTTCTCAAATCGAAAGAACTAATTTCAATTAAAGCAGTAATAATTAAAAATGCAGTTGTGAATAAAAGTAATAACTTTTCGCATTTATTAATGTGATCGAATTGAAATGATTTCCTCTCAGCGAAGAAATAGAATCGTGTGCGCGAGAAAAGACGTCGTCGCATGCGGGCCATATACATTGTCGTTTATAGCGCATGGATTGGGCAAGCAAGGGGAATCACGACGATGACGCGAGCGGATTTTAAGCCAAACGATACGAAATGGAGCGGCCGCAAAAATAACCGGACGCAATCGAAGAACGGTGTAAATCGCGAATCGACTGCCAACTGCGCCTGCGAGGCGCGCGTTTGCGTCGTGACGATAATAAACGCGTTCGCCTTCCGTCACCTTGACGTGACTATTAAACGCCGGACGTGATTAACTGCGCAAATTTAACAACCGCGTGACGATTTCTTTCTAATATGCGAAGCTGTCGAATTCGCTTCGAGACGGATGGAGATACTCACATGTCTCAATGTCGGCACCGGCCAGCTTTCCGGAAGGACCAAAGTGAATACGGATGAATTTACCCTGTACGAGACGGAAGTATAATTAATCCAACTGATTGAACGCGACCGATCTCTCGACCACTAGGCTCTCAGCCACGGTCGACGATCTACCGTTGTAAACAACATTCCTCATTTCTAATCGAGCGTTCTTACTTCCTTGGAATTAAAATAGATATAACCGAAATAGAAGTAAACACGATGAAAAATCAGATATGACAAAATTGAAATAATAGTATCAAAGATAAAATTGTGTAATTACATAATTTGATTATTATTATTGTGTAATCACATAATTACTTTATTATTATTATTATTATTATTATTGTGTAATTACATAATTGTTATTATAACATACAATTATATAATAATAGTTAAATTATTATGCTTATATTTTAGAGTTAACGGATTCAATAATTTTACGACAATTTCATAGCTGCTTTCTGAACTCGTTTAAGCCTTCCGAATCCGTTATTGGACTTCCTCGTACGCAATCGTTTATCCCGGCCAGATATAGTAATGACTCTATTTTACCCTATTGAACGCTTCATATATTAAGCGCGCGTTAAAATAGAAACACTTACGAAACGAGAGGAGTTATCGTTACGGACGGTCTTGGCGTTACCAAAGGCCTCCAGGACGGGATTGGTCTGGACGACCTGGTCCTCCAGAGAGCCCTTCTTCTTCGATGCTGCCTCTTCTGCCTTGTCTTTCTTGGTCGAGGCGCCGACGGTGGCGAAGTACGCGATTACCTTCTTCGTGTTCTCGGTCTTTCCGGCACCAGACTCACCGGTGATCAACATAGACTGGTTCTCGCTGTCTGTCGGGGACGAAAAAAACAGATTTTACATAACGGGCAAAATATTGTGGAAATTAATAAAAATCGTATCTCTTACGAATATATCTGTCTTTTAAGATAAAAAAGGAGAACATCTTCAGATGTGATTGTTCTATCCACAAATTTCTATGCACCAGAAATCTGTGGTTTTATCTAACAATTTATTCGATACAAATTAATATAGTTTAATTATCTTAGGCTAATCATTTTAAGTGTTTCGATTTTTTCGAAAGTGATGGTTTTCCCTAATGCGTTAATATTGCAATTAATACTGCCTTTCGTATAATCATAATTTTTTTTACGTACTGGTGAGCATGTTGACGTAGGCTCCGTCAGAAATGGCAAAAATGTGCGGCGGCACCTCGCTACGCCTCTTGCCGCGGTACAGTTTGGCGCATCTATGGGTGTACACGGGGAATCTTTTGTAGGGATTAATAGCCACGCAGAACAGGCCGGAATAGGTCTGCAAAAGTAGAAATCAGCGATCATTTAAATATCAATCGAGTCGAGGCTTCGAACAACAGTTTCGTGGCTCGACCGTGTCTCTGCGGTTCGCCAGAACATGAAAATTTCTTGATCCTCTCGCGTGCAAACTGTCTCGCTCGCATCGCATGAGAATCAGTACTAACAACGTGCACAAGAAATCGTCGACAGATTCCAGTTATTCGAATTTCCCGAACTCGGCAAAAAAGATTATGTATATCATACATCAACGTGACGTTTTACAATATGAAATATGTAAAATTATGACAATGAAACTAATTATGATTTTTTCAATTATACAGCAATAAAAAACAAATTACAATAAATAAATAAAATTATAGATTTTATAGAGTTTTCAGTGTTATAATTTTAGAGAAGAAATTTTTCTTCATTTAAATCGTACAATATTGTACGATATGTAAAATCATTCATTAATAACACAATGAAGTTTTGCCTTCAAATAGAATTTGTCTGGAATTTGTCTGCAAAAAACATCATCGATAGTGTCTGATTATTTCAAATTTTCAGGAATAATTTGTTGTTCATAAGAATAATTATCAAATTATATATTAATTATGTGCTGCTAAATCATCAAATATATATTATTATCAAATTATAAATATTATCATAAACTTTATTCAAGTGCAAAAGAAAATCGGCAAATATAATTTGATTCTATACTGTAACTCATTATTATAACGGATATTAATTCGTTATATTAATTTGACGAAATAATCTGGCGACATCGACGACGCTGATAAAACGTACAATATATCTACATATATATGAAAACAAAAAAAACAGAGATTTGAACGCCGATGCAGGAACAGTCCAGCTCCCATCGTGGTAGACGCGACTCGTGTCTCGAGACGAGAGCATCCTTTCGGGATCTCCACTTTGTGAGCACGTGGATCCAGGAGCGCACTCACAATCAGTTAAATACAATGGACGTAACATTCGGGAAACAAACATGGAGCGATAAAAATAAGAGACGATTACACATCTGGTGCGAATGAAAACGAAGAGAATATCGTGGAAAGTTAACTAAAGTACTAGAAGGAGAACAAAAAAATGACAAAGCATGAGATATTCTTTGCTTGACATTTTTTCAATACACGGAGAGATCTTTCTCAGTGACTTGATCGAAAATTATCAATCCGAAAGGGAAAGAATTTTCGTAAACGTGGAAGAATCACAGAACGCGTCGCGGCACGTCATTGTGCTTTGTGCGACGATAATTTTTGTAAACGTGGAAGAATCACAGAATGTCGCGGCACGTCATTGAGCTTTGCGCGACGATTTACCTATATTCTCTCAAAAGGAAAAAAAATCCATGCAATTCCAGACAGAAGTCTGGTGTGAAATGATTAAAAACAAAATTCGACAAAAAGCCAGGAGCGCGTCGTAGCAGGTCATGGTGCTTTGACGACGGCGTCACCCTCTCGCTAAGAAAAAAAAAGAAAAAAAAATTAAAAAAATTAAAAAAATCATGCATTCTTCGATGGCAAAAACATCGAACGGACGAAAGATCTTCGTCCACGGATCCTATCTACGCTGGGAAAAGGATCATCGATTAAAAAAAATCAGGAGAGACCAGGAGACGTCGTGGCATGTCGTCCTGCTTTATGACGACGCTCCCGCACAAGACCCGTGCATCCTGAGCGAGCCGTTTGTCGCGGATGACGAATGGAGTGTGAGAGCCGAAAGGACCCTTCGGAACGTCGCGGGACGCGTCCTGGCGCTTTGAGCGACAAACCAGGGTCCGTCCAGCACAAAAATTCTAAGTGGAGTGTCGCCGCGAGAGTCACGGCGGCGCGGCTCGCAAGTAGAAGAGGAACACTCGAGGCCAGCCAAAGCCAGACAAAGCCCTCCGCGTCCTCGGACGCGGGGAGGAGGAGGCGGATGAAGGGGGGTGCGAGCATCCCCCCCCTGTTGCCGAGCCGAAGAGCCTTACGTAGATGAGCTTGGCGTAGTAACGTTGCTTCAAATTGTGGAGGACCGAAGCATCGTTGAGGTAGGTCAGATTGGACATATCCTCGGCTTTCTCATACTTGGGCGGGTTCACCTGCTGCAGCTGGTCCTTCTTGAAGTCCTTGGTCTGTCGTCCCCAAAGAGAAAAGAAAGGGCGCGTTAGTGGCGTACGGTCACGACAATCGACTTACGTAGATCAGTTTGCCGTAGTAGCGCTGCTTCAGATTGTGCAACACCGCCGCCTCGTTCAAGTAGGTCAGGTCGGCCATGTCCTCGGCTTTCTCGAATTTCGGTGGATTCACTTGGGACAGCTGGTCCTTGCGGAACTGTTTCGTCTGTGCGCGAGCATTTTCTTTTTTTTTCTTCCTCTTTTTTCTTGTCGTCGTTACGTATCACACAATCGAGCGATTCGGTTGTCAATCTCTCGGAATTAAAAGCGAGAGATGGAAAACACGTATCGAAACTTGCGTACTTACTCTTTTGGAAAGACATATTTTGTTTTAAATTTAAAAAAAACTGAAATATCTCAATCTTTCAGATTTGTAAAGATAAAAGAAAATAGAGGAAGATTGAACTGATGAGCAATTGCAAAAATTGACAAGAAAATACTTAAAAAACCTGCCCAAAATATATTAATAAAATAAAACAGCTTATTCTCTCTCTTTCGCTTTCTACATTATTGTTCTACTTTTACAGTATTTAATATCTCAATTATATTAATACATATTCACATAGTATTTAATTTATAATTTAACGGATTGTAAGAATAGTTAGAGTTATAAAAGTAATAATAGTAACTAAAATATTTGTAATAATTTCAAAAGGAAATTAAAAACTAAAGGAAAACATTAATATTTGGCGTTTTGTTAAAAAATAAAGAAATGGATAAATTTTGTTAAGTTTATATGATTGCAGTTTAATTGAATTATGGCACACCCATCGAGACAAAAAAAAGAATACATAAAATAAAATAATAATCTATCAGCCACATTATCACAAATATTTCGACATATAGACAAATGGAAATATTATAATGCATCTCGTCTAATTCCCGATGAATTGATTTTTGTGAGATTAGATAAAGAATTTTAGGTATGAAAATAAGATATGAAAGTGGTCAAATCTGTGATCAAATTGTGCTAAAAATCTCGATAAAAAAAGCGGAAAGAGACGCGACATTTTTCCCCCGACGATTGCATTGCGTAAGGAGGTTTTTTGGCAACGACCAATGACACCCCTGTTTCTCCACATATCTCTCTCTCTCTTTCTCGCGGCGTTTTTCTCGGGCTCGGTTGCTGCTCTAAAAATACGTTGACCCGCGTTTCGAGAAGTGGCGTTTCGGCTTATTATTACGCCAGGCGCTAGCGACGGCGATTCTAACAATAGCGTTTTGGGCATACAGTCGTAACGAGGCGACGCGCGCGGCGACACGAGTTTGCTGAACCATTATGTAACGGATGTGCGTTACGCGGGGACGCGGATATCGGGGCCGTTTTGTTCGTGAGTTGCGGAATTCGGGGCGAGAATAGCGGGGACACTTTCGTCGAAGTCACGGAAAACAAGCACATTTAATGTTAATAATTGCGAACAAAATGACTTCACGCATCTGAAATATGATTCGTCGAACGTTATAATCCGTAATGTACAGCGAGGTTTATTAATTTTTTTTAAACATAAAATGTAAAAGAGAAAGAGAGAGAAGAAAACAAATATAAAAGATATTGAGCTATAAATAATAAAATTATATAATTTTATGTTATCTTGAAAATGTAGCTCTCACGAAAGAAAATATGATATACATTAAATTATATATAAAAAAAAATTGAAGTGGTATAAGAATGTGGCCAACGTTTTATACTTATTATTTTCCCTTCAAAATAAAATATTCTTATTAGATAGATTAATATAAATATCTAATAAAACATTCCTCAATCAATTCTTGACCTTTGCTTTCTGCCTTGCGACATTCATAAAAAAAAATTCTGAAAACATCTAAAATCTGAAAGTTACTCGATTCGTTAGATAATAGATACAACCTGTTCAACAATGTGATTTGAATTTGGTGAGAAATATTTTGGCAATTTAATAGATGTCAATCATACGTCTTCCTTTCACTTATTGTTAAAAATTTTATTTTTCGAATTACGTATCGACAAAACAATTTCAAATAACAGAGAGTTTGCAAGATGGAATTGCAGGAGCCTATAACGCCCTAACGATTTAATTGTCAGCTAGAGTTATATTCTAAAGAATTAGACATTTTTTGGTGAAACGAAAGTATAATATATAATTATCGTTCCGCGTTAAAAATTGTCTCGATTGTAAACGGGTGTCTTTCATTACGATAAACGAGAAGAGGAAATCGTTCTCCGACAGGGGGAGAATGCGTCGCTTTCAAGACAAATTGTATATTTCCGCCAACAGAACGGCGGCAGAAAATCGCTCTTTACGTAATGCACTTTTTGACAGGCTTCAAGCTCGAGAGAGACTTTATTTCCGTCCGAAAAGAAAGCCTACACCTTCGGCCGGATGATAGAAGGTCGTAAGTACTCGACGTCGTCGTCGTCGACGTCGACGACGACGACGACGGCGGCGGCGGCGGCGGCGGCAGCGGCAGCGGCGGTTCGTGGCCGGTTTTCTGTTCTCCGAAAATAGATCGTCAGCGAGATCTCGTTCCTCCCCCTTCTTTTTATATATATAGAAGCCAGCGAATCCCCTCTTTCCCTTTTCCTCTTGCTCTCTCAATCTCTCTCTCTCTCTGTCTTTCTATCTTTCTCCTTCTGTTTCCCTCGGTCGATTGAGCCGGCTAAAAAATCGCCCAGGCAGGCGGAGGGAGAGATCGCGCCTCGATCCTTCCATGGCGATCGATAGAAATCGCCGTGCCGTAAACAGACGCACCCCTTCCGCCGCCCCTCAGCACACCACAAAAATCGTACAAGCGAACGGATTTATCCGGCGAAATCGGAACGCAACTCTCGTATCAACGCCTACTTCCTCGAGCGTACGCAAATCCCGCGTCAACGCTTTTTCAGCGTAATCACGAAAAGTGTTACGTCACTTTCGAGGTCTAGTTCGCGAGAGTAGAAAGGAGAGAGATGACAGTAGAATGGAATCTGACGAACAATTTCATCGAATAATCACTTTTATACGTGTCTCTTTCACGACACAGATTGACTTATACTTGTCTTTATTCGGCAAACTGAGTTTTCATTTGGGTTTAGCTGACTTTCCCCTTTTTATGACATTTGCCGCATGTTATAAAATTTATGTAAAATGCGAAAAAATTTTTTAACACTTAAATAGCGATGTAAGATCGCGTTTAAAATGTCCACGAACGAATTTCCCGGCTAAAGAAATTTGCCGGGTATTTGCAGTAGAAAAAGCTGCGTCAGATAGTAGAAAAGGAAGACGTATGAACAGACCGCATGGACTGATTGCCAGACGTTTATTAAATTCCGATTACCTAACGTATACGTATTATTTAATTAATAATTGTCAGGTAAATAACTGTTTAATTAAAATTTGTAAATCAAGAGTTAACTAAATATGTGTTACAGTACCTCGTAATTATATGTAAATTAAGTATCTACATTTTAAAACATTATAAAACTAATATCATATTATATATGTATCGTTAAAATGGACTGGAGCACTGAACTCCAGTTTGACAAGCAATACCATTTTCTTGAAATATAGAATGCAAGTATAATTACATCCAGGATTTCAAAGCGTTATAAATATAATTTTAATTTCATCCAGGAGCAAATCGGTAAATCGCTCTTCCGCAAATCTTACCAAACAAATTCTCCGTGTCCAAAACTGATTCTACATTAGTCGCAGTGTCTCAAGCTAATCAACATCAAGCTAGCTCGACGCTGATTGGATCACAACTGAATCGCAACTAATGTAGAACCAGCTTAAGAAACAAAAGCGTAAAAATTCACATATCGGATGTTTAAATTGTTCGAATAATAGCCGACCTCTGCAACTCTTTAATTTTCTCTTCTTCATCGTGTTTGAAATTATTACATCTGAGCACAACGTAAATTTACTCTTGTAAATTTAAATTTAAATTTGTTGCAAAAAAGCAGAATAAAATTACGCAAACATTAAATCCCGTTGGGATCGCTTGTCGGCTATTTTTCGAACGACCTGATGACTTCTTTTTTTTTTGGAGTAACGGAAATCGGAAGAGCGGGGGTTACAGGAATGCACGGTAACTACTACACACCTCGCCGCCAGGCAAGCCGACGCTGACGACGTCGCCCTTGGTGGCTTTGATCTCACCGAGGAGGTAGCCCTCCTTCTCGTCGGGCACCCAGCATGCTTTCTTCGCGTCGTAAGGTTTCGTCTGATCGATTCTCTTCTGCTCAAGGGAGACGAAGAGGTACGGAGTCGGATCGGGATCCTCTCCCTCCTGGGGCTTCGGGGCTGGCATCTTTGGTTCTTCTTCTGGGCTCTACCGGCAGTAAACTGATGCCGTGGCACTCACAGGCTTTCTCCTGAGGTCTTACTTCTTCTCTTCTTCTTCTTCTTCTTCGGTGGGAGGGGAGGACTGTTCCTCTTCTTTCTGTCGTTTGCCTTCGGGGCTTGTTGTTGGTTCGGCGGCGGACGGACTACTTCTGGCGGCACGTTCTGGCGGCCCTGGGGAACGATCAGTTAGAACACATCTCGACGCATCCCGGTTGTCCGGGAATCCACTTCACGAAACCACGGCCAGATATATCAAATACTGATGCAAGAAAAAGTCTGATAGCTTTTCTATTAATTTCTTTTTTAATCTCTTTTTTTGTGCCTTTTAGAAAGACCTCCATTTGGAAGGATAAAAAGAATAACAATTAATTGTTATTTTGATTAACTAAAAGATTCCAAGTATGCACGCAAATATTATTCTCAATTAAATTAAAACAATAATATTAAATAATAAAAAATTTCATAAATGTTTCAGATTTATGACTAATATCCTTTTCAGTGGATTATATACGTTTAGAGTTTATTATGCTGAGATAAAAATATTAAAGAAATGTTTATCGCGAGTTTTTAATTCTCGATATATCTTTGTAATTCTAAATTAAAAATTATCTATATAAACAATGTTTATTTAAAAATACTAAGCGAAAATAATAAATATATATTAAAATGAATATAAAAATGTCTTTCTATACTTCCAAAGTTTATTCCTCAAAAAGCTTTTCGTCTCAGCCATTTGTAACTTAAAAGTTCTTTCAAGTTCTTGTAATTAAAAAAGAAACTAAATTTAATTAAATTTCAATATATTTAACAAAAAAGAAAAATACGAAGTCAATTGAAGTATTCGTAGACTGATATTAACAAAAGTCTGACACATTTTATTTAATAACAATAGTACACATTTCTTTTATATGTTTTTATCTAATTAATTTGTAAACATGAAATAATTATTGTTATAAGATTATTGTTGTGGTAGTCGAATGAGAATTTAGATATTCATCGATAACAAATTTGTCAAAAACTAATGTAAACATTATTAAAATTTATTTCTTCGGCATCGATTAATATTGTAAGTCCCGTAGTATCGTAAAGTGGAATTTAATGGTTTTTAGATTCGTCGCAGACAACCGCCGGCTTTGCTCTTTCCTGAATTTCACTTAAACGTTTTAGAAAAACGTCGCGAAAGTAGTAAAGATCCATCTTATATGCTTCACCTCGAAGCAGGTCGGTACGACGTCGTTATGTATCACTGACACTACTACTCGAAACGCGACGATTATGCGTGCATCACGGGAGATGAGTCGCGAAGAAGAGTCGGGAGAAGTGCGATAGGGTTGCATAATCAGATAAGAATACAAAATGGAGCAGGCACGAAGCGGTACTGGCGACCGGACCAAAAAGAGCGACGTATCGCGTTACAAGAAGTTCGATATTTTCGTTTCTTCGAAATAAGTGTAAGAAACACAAGGAACGATGCGATGGATAGGCATGTAAAAGACACATTCTTGCATGGATTTATTAGGATTTAACGAATGTTGGGAAAGCGTGCGGACTTTAAATAATAAACGAAATGAAGGACAGAAACGTGAATCATAATGGAGAACAATATTGGCAAAGGAAGAAACGATCTAAGAAAGATCTAAGAAAAGAAGAAAAACGAGAGAAAATATTGAAACTTTCAACTTTAAATTAAAAATTATCAATTTTTTACCCAGAAAATAAATATTTCATCGAAATTTGATAAATAAAGAATTGGCAGAAGAAAAATTAACAATTTTTAATTGAAAACATTTTCTGAATGGAATGAAAATAATTCGCATAATGAAAATTGATCATTTTCAATCTTTTAAATAATAACATTTTAATTAATTCTTTTGTTCCAATTTGTTAATTAAGTATTCGGCTTTTAATATAAAATCAGATTCATATAAAAATTATTTGAAAAATTATATTTCTTACAATGGCAGTTAAAATAAATAACCTTTCAATTTTTACTCTACTGAATCAAATTATCTAAAAAAACAAAATAAAACATTAAATTTTAAGTAAAGAGAAATTTTATTTAAAATTTGAATTTGTTTCATAAGAGACATTACTTTCTCTTATTAAAATGTTAATAAAACTTTAATTTTTTTATATTTCTGAAAAGAATTGAGAAAGAAAACTAATTTTTGATAATCTAAATAAACTTTTTTAGCCGATATTTGTATTTGTAAATTCAATTAACTATTATTTAACAATTGTTTAAAAATTGTTTTTGACAATGACATTAATATTATAAACCATAAATAAATATAGAAAAAAATAGATAAAATTAAAAAGAGAACGGCGCAAACACTAATAAGTTTTGACGACTCGTTTAAAATAAGTCCGGCTCGAATGCTGGGAGATATCCTCGAATTTGGTAGCGTCGCACAATGGTATTCCTGGTGGTTTGCACCTTGCTGATTTCATATATCGAAGGAAAAACTTTTTGATCGAAAATCGATCGACTTCCCGACACCCGGGAAAAAACTCAAAATCGCTTTTCCCTCCGCTCCAATAGGATCGGAGCGGTGGGAGGCGAAGGGGGATGAAGAAGGACCAGAGGAAGAAGTGAGAAGAAGCAACACACTATATCCGTACACCGTTCGGGGGATCGTATAAGCACACACAGGTAAAAAGCTCCTTTCAGAGATTCCTGACACAATCCTCTCGGTCGCACCTCGTCGGATTTGTTTCTCACACGAGTACTTCACCAAGAGTCGAAGGTCACTCCTTCTCGGAAGATCACCAGAGCCCGTTCGCCAGTCGGTACCACTTCCCGGTCTGTCCCGGCGACTCTTCCCCCCTTCCCCCCCCCCCTCCCCCCTACCGATCGCTCTCTCTCTCTCTCTCTCTTTCGGCACAGACACACACGCGATGTTCTCGTAGAGGAGGTTGAGCACGACCATCCGAATTTTAACTCGGTCCTCTCACGAGTTTCTTGCGGTCCTAAACTCCTCACCCTTAACTCCGCTTGTATCGTCCTTATATCGGTATCGTGTACACACGTGGATGTGTGAATTTGTTGCGTGTGACCGTCGTTTTCTCTGTGAGTAAGAGCGCGCACGCGCGCGCGCGCGCGTGCACGGCGGGTAAGTGTACGATCTCCAGTGGATGATACGGTGACGCCCGGTTATACACCCCGTTTATCAAATAAATCCGAATATACGAGAGAAAACTCACTTCCTTTCTCCTCGACGTACTTTCGCTTCTTTCGTCTTCCGCGGTCGATCGAGAGCAAAGAGAAGAGGAAAGAGAAAAGAAACCAAAAAAAAGAGGAAAAAAAAATAGAAGCCGGCGGCGTCGCGACGCGACGTGGTGCACTTACGTTAGAGAGCCGTTCTGTCGGGGAAACGAGCGGGGGCTCCCAATATAAGCGCGTGCAACGTGATCCTAGAGTGTAACACCGCGGTCGATTGGCCGGACGGTCCGACGAATCGCATATCGCGTTACTTCCACGACCAATCTACCTTTTTAGGCGGACGATGATACCGAGAACGCGGTGCGACAAGGGGTGGCCGCGACGCCGACGAGTGAGATGAAAATAGACGTCGGAGCGAGACGCCGCGCCGAAGTCCGGTTCCCCCCCCTCTCTCTCTCTCTCACTCTCGCAGCGGCCATCCCTCTGCTCGGGATACCCCCGGGGCTGCCCCCAGCCATGGCGACCGCCGCGGACCTCGAAATGGAAGAAAGAGGTGGCGGAATTTCGGAGGGTGCGCTTCGTTTCTCGCTTCTCCGTTCGGCTCCTTCATCGCTCTCGCGGGTAATCGTCGAGGAGAGAAGACAGAGGAAGAGAGAAAGAAAAAGAGAGAAAGAGCGAGAGGGAGAAGAGAGAGAGAGAGAGAGAGAGAGAGAGAGAGAGAGAGAGAGAGAGAGATTGAAGAGAAGGGAGAAGGGAAAGAGAGGAGCGCACCACGTGGAGGGCGCACGTGGACGCGAGCGTTATTCGGGGTGCGCGCCGGTGAACGATGATTCGCTCGTGAATCCTCGTTGCGTCAAAACAAATCGAATCAGTCAATCAGTCGGGATGAATGATCGATGGATATATCTCCCGGTTTTTTCTCTCTTCGTTAATTGTGCCTCAACTAACTTTGTGTTCGAACGATGTCGGTAATTGTTGAACAATTTGTTCCTCACACGGTTCCAGTGGCCAGTGCTGTACTTGATTTTTTTTGTTTTTTCTTGGAGTATTATAATAATTCTCTCTTTTCCGTTCACTTTGATTTCCTTAAAGCGAAGCTAGTAGCTCAAATAAGTATTGTAAAATGAGGCATACGTTGGGATGTCAAATGATAATCGTGGTTCGTGTTCTTCAACTAATTTGACTGCGATACAAATGAAACAAAATTTAAAATTTTGCGTCTGGATGTAAAAAAATAGTTTAAATTCTTTCTTGACCGTAATTCTTATTTCTTTCTTCTTCTCTACGGAAAGTTGTTTGCGGCAAAGCAACTGTGGACATTTGATCGATATCCGACGTGAATATATCCGCGAAGAAAATGCGGGAGAATTCAAGGAAGATCATCAAAAAAGATTGAGGTGTCTGAATAAAAACTTGGCGCGAATGGCATTTTTATATTCAGATTAACAAAGTTACTTTGTAACTTACAGTGTTTTGCTTTCCAAAAATAACTATTTAACATTTTAAGTTTCCAACTCTAAAAAGTAACATGTTACAGTTACTCAAAAAGTAACGAGTCATTACTTTTCAGTTTACCTCTCTTTACAATATGGATATTGTTACCGTTAAAATCATTAGAGAAAAAGATTGGTTTATGTTTATATGTTATACAATTTTATTTAAAGAATAGAAAATGTGATTCAACCGTAGCCTACATTGACAAATAAGTGTGAAATATATAAAGTAACTATGAAAGCAACTATTAAATTAGTTACTGGTTATAAAAAAATGTAATTAAGTTTAGTTGCAGTTAGATGAAAAAAAAGTTACGAAATGAAGTTACACAGTTACTGAAGAAAAAGTGACTTTAATTGTAACTTCGTTACAAATAACTTGTCAAACTTGTATATATCAATAATCCTTGTGTTAAACGACGAAGCTTCTCTCTTCAGATAGGCTCGGGCTGAATGAAAAGTGCGAAACGAACACGGACGAACGTGGCTAGCTTCAATGAATACGAATGACTCGTCGCGAGTACGATCGAACGAGCTCAGATTTGCACGAATACTTTCCGTCTCTTTTTGACTTACGTAAAAAAAAAATCGCTTGCTACATTCAACGAATCCATGTCTGCGAACGTCCGTAATCGTTCGTTCTCTCTCTCTTATCAATTCGGTCCGCAGCCATCCCTCTTCGAGCGGGCTCCAGAGCGTAAATGAATTCGCGCTCGCGCGGTGGTCGCGGCGGGCCTTGACGTTTTCCGCGTAAAATCGCCGCAGGAATAATATTTACGCTTGCCGGGCATAAACCGAATTCCATGCCGTCATCATCTTGATCGACATGATGCGCCCAAGTGCATCGAAATAGACGCCAATCGAAAGACGTATATACAGCAAAGTAGTATAAATAAATTCGCCTTATATCGACGTCGACGAGAGAAAATATTATTGTGACATTTATAGAAACTGTGAGACCAAAGAAATGCACAATGAGTAAAAATGAAATATTGTGTTATAACAGTTTTTTAAAATAAAGTTTTTTTTACTGTAATATTAACAGTAAAATAATATATTGTTTTTTCGAATATTAAATTTCATTATTTCAGCATAAAAGCAAATCTTATTTGTATGTACTTATATTAAAAATACTTTTTCTTTCTTTTATAAAAAAAATTCGAAAGTTTAATTGTTTTCTTATTTTTATAATTACAAAAAAATTAAATAACACAAAAATTAAAAATTAAAATAATTACCAAAAAAATTTTTCAGTTTTTTATTTTTATATAATCTTCTCAATTTTTATGTTATTCTAAAAAAAAAAATATATATATGTAAGATAATTTCAAGCATTCTAAATTTTAGCTAATATAATTCTAGCCTAATAATCTAATTTTCTGAAGTGTATTCTGACGCAAATTACAGTGTTTTTCTTTGCACCCATATGATCTCAAGATGCAACGGTTCAGTGCAGTGCAGCAATTTTCTCGCGGAGAAATTGGACCTCTTCCAGTCCTCATTAATGACAGGAAGAAACGCGCGGAGGACGACGATTCTCGGGCCGATGTGTCGTGCGACATGTGTCATAAATGGTCGATTGGGAAATATATTTCTCCCACACATTTCTTTCGAACATAAAAACATTCGAGTAGTTCGACATTAGAAGATTAAAAGTCCAGATTTTCAGGAAATTAGCGATTGTTTTTATTCCAAAATAAAAAATTATTTTCCATAGAAACCTACTTTAAGTGTTAAGATTAAAAAAGACACGGTTAAATATAAAAATACGTATTTGCAAAAACTAATCGTATATAATAAATATATGCTGAAATTTAATTGTGTACGTTTCAATTATTTTCTAGTGCCAGACGTATTTTTTATTAATAGTATATTTATTATTTTCAATATCAGACATATATTTCTATATTGGCATTCATTTCCGCGCGAGAGCTCGACGAATTTTCATTCATGCGGCGCTTATCTACCGGTCAGGGCGCGATCGCTCGCTCGATTATTACGT